GTAGTTGGCTATAGGCTTTTGGTATTGCTGCCTATTTGGTGCATTTTTTAAAAACTTAACAGGWAATAAGGGAGGATTATTAAAAATTGTGCTACTGCTGCCAGTTGTGGTKGTGCATGCCTGTAATCTGAACTACTTGGAGGCTAAGACAGGAGGACCACAAGTTCAAAGTCAGCCTCAGCAATGACGAAGTGCTTAGTAACTCAGTGAGACCCTGTCTCTAAATAAAATACAAAATAGGGCTGGGGTATGGCTCAATGGTTGAGTGCCCCTGAGTTCAATCCCTGGTACCAAGAAAAAAAAATGTGACATTGCTGTTGCAATCTTTTCATTATTCCTTTATACTTTGTTTTTAGTAAAAATGTTATTAAAACATCCGAGAGGTTATTTTGCTTTATTTGAGATTTTTGTGTTTTGTGCTGCTCTGATTGTGAAGGAAGGATTGTGTTAAAAATCAGAGACAAAAAATTTTTGAGTTTTTCTGATGGTTTAAAGAAAAAATAGACCTGGAAGACATGATATGATATGCTATGTCCTGAATATGAGAGTAAAGATGTGTGGAGTCTCAAATGATGATGCAAATTTCCATGAGAGAGGAGTCAGACCTGACAAATTGCACCAGTCCTTGCAGACTGGTGAGTGTTTCTCCCCTTCTGATTGAGGTACAGAATGAAGATTCCTGGTTTAGATTCCTCAAAGTCTCAAATCATGCCACCAAAAGTATGTTAGAGCTATCTTCTTAGTAAATGAACTAACAAAAAATATAGATTTGCTTAATGTGGGATCTAGAATAATGAAAAATAGTTATCCTTGTTTTATTTTTTTAAATTTTATATGTTCTTTTAAATTATACATGACAGTATAATGTATTTGGACATATTATATATACATGAAGTATAACTTCCCATTCTTGTGGTTGTCCATAATGTAGAGTTACACCAATCAAAAATTCATACATGAACATAGGAAAAAAATGTCGATTCATTCTATCATCTTTCCTATTCCCATTAACCCCCCTCCCTTATCTTCATTTCTCTTTGCCTAATCCAGTGAACTTCTTTTCTTATTATGTGTTAGCATCCACATACCAGAGAGAACATTTGGCCTTTGGTTTTTGGGGATTAGCATGATATTCTCTAGTTCAATCCATTTACTGGCAAATGCTGTAATTCCATTTTTTTAATGGATGAATAATATTCCATTATGTATCCATCCATTCATCTGTCACAGTTTAGCTACTATGAATTGAGTTGCTTTAAACATTGAAGTGGCTGCATTACTATAGTATGCTGATTTTATGTCCTTAGGGTATATGTCAAGGAGTGGGATAACTGGGTCAAATGGTGATTCTGTTCCAAGTTTTCTGAGAAATCTCCATACTGTCTTCCAGAGTGATTGCACCAATTTTCAGTCCCATCAGCAATGTAAAAGGTACCTTTTTCCCCTACATCCTTGCCAACATTTATTGTTACTTATATTCTTGTTAATTGCCATTCTGATTAGAGTGAGATGAAATCTCAGTGTAGTTTTAATATGTATTTCTTTAACTGCTAGAGATGTTGAAAATTTTTTCATGTATTTGTTGACAGATCTTATTTCTTCTTTTGTGAAGTGCTCGTTCATTTCCTTTGCCCATGTATTGATTTTTTTTTTTTTGGTGTTAAATTTTTTGACTTCTTTGAATATCCTGGAGATAGATGCTGTATCTGAGATGCACTTTTCTTTGTTTTAATATGAGAGCTTTCCCTGGATAAATTCAGCATTTCCCACATAATAGTTACACTAAAAAGACAGCTTTCCTGTGAAGTACAATTGTCAGGCCCTGTCATTCCTATTATAGGATAGTGGAAACAGAAAATCTTCATTTATTCATAAGTTTACTAAATGTATGGCCATATAAATATATCAGGTCATTAAAACTCAAGTGTACAAAAAATTATTAAAAAAATAACTGTAGTTTCAATGTTGCAATCCTGTTATTTCTATGGAGAGAAAATTTTAATTTTGTTAATTCCACATACTCATAGTATAACTTATCTATGTTACTTCCAAATCTCTTCTGTCCCCAAACCATTTTTAGCTAAAATGTTATCTCTTCAAAATTATCTGCCTTCCCCTTGTTTTTCTGAGGACAGCTTCAAAATTATTTGGGAGTGGGTAGGGTGAAGTGGGGAGGCAGGTGGCCAGGGCAGGTATCTGATTGTCAGATGCAAACACCTCTTGATTTTGGCCTTAAAATTTGGTATCTCCTTTTCCATTGCCTTTGGGTCACTGGTCTGTGCATTCAGGTCTGTCCGTCTTCATTCTGACCTATAGGCTCTTTAACCCTCTACAGCCCTCCTGCAGAAACTTTGAATAGTCTTTAAAGCCATAAATACTAAAAATAAAAACAAGCTGGGAGCACCCCTCTTTATGCCCAAACAGTTTGTGCTAGCTTGCTGCCCTCTGTTGGTTTACTGAAAGGAAGCTTCTGAATCTTGGTTCCTTTAACATTCCCAATGAGAACAGAGCTCAGATACCCTCAATCTTTAGCTCTTCAAATATATTCTGGAGTTCTATTATTTCTCTCTCCATGACTTTTTAAAAGTTATCTCAGGAACTGTGTGTGTGTATGGTTGTGTATATCCTCAGGCCTTTCTTGGGGATATACACAAATGCCTCTGTATTTGTAGCAGACTGTATTATTATTTACGATTAACCACACAACCCTGTCCCCCACAACCCCAAAAAGGATTATAATCCATGCCTATTGCCATATGATTTACCTATGGAAGAAACAGACTTTCTACTGACTTGAAGTTTGGCCATATGAAAGGCTTTTGCCAATGGAATGTCATGACATATGGATGAAGCAGCCTAAATGCGTCACAAATTTCTATGAGCTCTTCTGATCTTTTTGTCTGTCATGAAAATTGTCCAAGTCCCACATAAGGGTTCTTCTTCAGCATGGGACAAGAGGACCCTTAGAGCAGAACCTTGGCTGACCCACAAAATATAATGTACAAGTAAGAAATAAACTTATGCAGTCTTATCATTTTTTTACAGTAAAAGTGATGAATACATTGTTTGTGGACCATTTCTTTTTCTTTCAGTTCTTTTAAGTCCAGCTATTCCAAACCACAAGCTCTGATTTATGAGACAACTATTACTGCCATGAGCTTCAAATGCCTATTAAACAAACATTGTGGAATTGCCACCTTTTTTCTTCTGAGACAGGGAAGGAAATGCAGTAGCTGCCTGAGAATATAAAACCAGGGATAAAGAACATGAATTTTACGTGTGCATGCAGAGCTGGAGGGTGGGGCCCCTCAGTTAACTTTTTCAGATTTTATCTTGACATGCAAAAAATGTATACAACCATGAAATTTAAAACTTGAAAACTCCAAGACATGTATTCTTCCTGCAGTCAGGGATTTTATAGAGCAGATCCACTATCTCTTTAAGTAATTAAAATGTAAGGCAACACATGTTGTGTATCATCAAGGTGTGTAGGGGAAGTGCTATAGGAGCTTATGGAAGAGGCCTGGAAGAATAGGTAGAATTTGGAAATGCAGTAAGAGGGGAGAAAAAACATTTTGTACTCAAAATATAGATCAAGCTAAATCACTGAGGTGGGAAAGTTAGTGGCATGGATGGTACCCTTGAGTAAAGGTAAGGAACTGTGGGAGGCAAGAATGGAAAGGCAAGCAGTGGCCCAGTTATTGCCTTAGTTCAAAAGTGTGGACTGTGAAGTTCTACCACTGGCTAAAGCCATATAGATAAAGTGCTGCAAAGTGGATTTCAGCTGCATTTATTTATTTTTTAAAGCAATGTGGCCACTTAAAAATCGGACACATAAAGTATATGTACATACACAGTTGGAAAAACAACTCAGTTGATAGATTACTCATCCCTAAAGGCCATCATTGTACACTAGCTGTGCATGTTTGCTAAACGGTTATCATTACTTATAAAATGATTGCTGATTTGTTTCTGGTATTGGATATGGCATGATTCTGCCAAAGAAAAAGCCTTGATTTTTTGCAGAAATTTGCCTAACACTAGAGCACATCTTACTAAGATCTCCTTGGCATTTTAATGATGAAAACAGCCACACAACAGTGCAATATACTTGATACTATCAAACTGTACTCCTAAAATGGTAAATTTATGTTTAGTTTACCACAGATTAAAAAAAAAATAACCAGCACATCTTGACATGCTGAAGGTACTAAAAATAGTAGAATTTTATAGCTGGAACTCCTCAGCTCATTTAGAATTTTAGAGCTGGAATGCCAACCCCGAAGATATCCAAGTTGGTAAAGAGAGAGATGCAGTATCCCAGCGTTAGTCAGTCTCTTTCCCGGTTCTTCCTGCCTTGCGGGTGAAGCTCCGTTGGTCAGGAGAAAAAGTCTCCAACAAGTCTTGCTCACTTTAGCGCAGGGGAGAGAGGGGGCAGGTGTGTGGTTCTGGTGCAATGGGAGGCCAACATAGGGGCAGCTGCGCTCTTCTTCCTCCATCCCGGGGCGGAAGTGCGGAGAGGTGTAGTTTAAAGGTTTTGTCGCAGCAGAGTCCTGGACATTTTAACAGCTCCACTCCGCCACTTTAGCCGACCACCAGCAGGCTGAGGGAGAACTGTGATGAAACATGTTTGGCCTTCATAAAAAAGAGATGAAAGTTGCAAAAGCTCTGCCCAGGCTTCAGCTATGAATCAACTTTCCAGGGTCCACGGTGAACAGCTCTTAGGAGTTGTCGGCAGGGTCGGGCAGTGGTGCACCTTTTTTCTGACTCAGGCCTTTTTTTCTTGTAGGGTCTCAGTGCTAAGCCCCCGAACTTGCGGTTGAAGCACTTGCCCCACGCCCTGGCGGTGGCCAGGGATGCTGAAGCCGCGATCTTAGTCGTCACCGCCGCCGCCGCCGCCGCCGCCTTCCGTCGCTGCCGCTGGGCCTGCTCCCTCAGGCACATGCGCAGTTGCGACGCCGACCCGGCGCCCTCAGTCTCCTCCTCCGCCGCCTCCCGGTTCCGCAGTCACTTCCTGCAGCTGTTTCCCTGTGGGTAGGGTTGGACTGACTTTTGACAGTCAGCCTTCAGCTGTGGAGGGGGCTCGGCGGCCGCGAGCGGAGAAAGTTGCTCCGAACAGAGGCGGGGTGGAGCCGGGTCGAGCCGGGCGCGCAGGGCTGGCGGCGGCGGGCGTCCGGGACGGACGCGGCGCCGAGACTGCCGCCGCGTCCCGGGGGTTCCGGTAAGTGCGGGCGACTGGGAGCCTCAGGGCGTTTAGGACGATCCGGGAGCACTGGACTAGAGGTTCCCTTTTCACGCTGTCTTTCCACCTGCCCTCCACGTGACGGTGCCTGGACTGCTCTTATTTATCCGTTTGTTTTGAGCATTTCACGTGTACTGTTTGGATCATTTGTGCTTGCAGCTGCCTTGGCCCTTGCACTAGTCCTCACCCGATGGGAGTCGGGGGATTCCATCTTTCGTGATGGCATCCTTAGGGGATTGAGGGGGGAGGTGTGTGTGTGTGTGTGTGTGTGTGTGTGTTCGTGTGTGTGCATGCACATCTCAGGAATGTGAGGTGTATGTGGGCGATGCTGAGGTATCTGTAGCTTTGATTCACTTGTGTAAACGGTTCCCTAGGATTCGGAACCGACATAGCTGAGACTGGAAAACATTTGCCCGTTTACCAAGGCCTCTTCCCTCCCAGTTTCCTTCGTTCTTTTGGGTCTTGCTTATATGACATATCTTGCCTCTGCTGATCGTTTTTCTGGTTTTCTCGCTTGTATTCTTATTGCTGCGTTCTCATGACCTCTGAGCAATGCTGCCCTGACTTTCCCTCGTTTCCAGAATTCCCAGTGACAGTCTTCCCCAGTTTGTTGAGATGTCAGAAACCTGTTTCTGTATTCTGTTCTCTTTCCTCTGTGGATTTCTCCAAATGAGAAAGCGATTGAGTTCAATACAGTATGTGAAGAGTAGGCCCCAGTCCAATCATGAAAACTCAGTATGTTACAATAATTCGTTTTCTTTAAACAGGTATATTGTGGAGCTTTGATTTTTTTTTTTTTAGTGTCCTCTCAAAACCTTTACCAACTAGGATATTAACTACCATAAATCCATCGTTTATGCTACTGCAAGCATCAAATTGAATGGTTTTTAAGATCTAAGGAATAGCTATTTATATCAGCTTTCAGATTAGTCTCTCTTAAACCAATGCAACAGTCGAACGGATCTGAGTCACATATGTTTTGGGTCTTTATATTCCATCATTTGCGCATTCACCAAAGGCTTGGTTTTATTTTAGATTTGTAGTTTTTGCTAATTTTTGTTTACAAATGCAGTAATACTTCTTTCAATCATCACATAAAGCTCTTTCAAGGGAGTTGATTTTATGTTGATTGTTAAATATAACAGAAGAATTAATTTTGGAATAGCTAGCTACTCTTTAGACATGATAAAAAATGTAATTGCAGGTAAGTCTGTGCTTGGCAAGACTATTTTTTTTTTTTAATTCCACTCCTCTGGAAGGAAGCTTTTTGTATTTTTGTGCCTTGAAGGGCCTTTATTTTGATGGAAACCTGTAGATAACATGGGGGGGGGGAGTCACATACTAGAGTTTCCTCCAGTGGGAGTGAGCTTTTATTAAACAAGTCCAGACTTGTCTCAACAATTGGTAGCATTTGATTTTCTGTCTATATTGCTGATTTTCTTTATACGAATGTTTGACACCCTTCTGTACCTTTTCTCTTAAGACCCAGCTGCATGTTTATGGCAACTTAGCATCAGTGTGACTGTACACATTGGCTAGGTAACCTTTAACATAATCAGTTATTATAATTAGGTTGTCAAACTTTTAAAAAGCTGGTCATTGTCTCTTTAGTTTCCCTTTCAAAAATATCAATATCCGTCTTTGCTTTTTGATTGTCTTTGCTTGATTTTTAATCGAGAGAAATAGTACCATTATAGAGAACCTGATGTTTTAGACATTTTAAATCTGTATTGCTTTTTTTTTTATGTTCCTGGAGATATGGGAAGCATACTCCTGCTTGTGAGTCAAATGATAGTATCACTTTTCTAAGTTATGATTAATAAGAAGAATTATTAGATTATATGATTTTTGCATTTTGTCCTTTACCACATTAGTTCCCACTTATAGTGATTTCTTCTCCTGCCCCCAGACCTTGAATTTAGTATAAAAGTTGTTACTTAATTACAATTTCTCTTTGATATATATTTATTGAATTTGATAAGACATACTCTTTTAACTTTTCGAAACTTGATTCATTTTAGAACATCTATATTGCCATACGTATACATTTCATCCTGATGGAAAATTCCAGCAGCTAAAAATAGGTATATTCTATTGACCAAGAAAAGAGGTGTTAATAGTATTGAGAGTGGAGGGAATTGTAGATTTTGAAATAAGGATTCTAATTTGGGTTAATTAGAATCTTGGGAACTCAAAAGGGTGTACCCATGATTCATTTTGAGATAGTCAGAATTAAGATACCATCTGGGTGGGAGGCAGGAGAAATCATGGATAAAGATTGAAGAGAAGGTGGACCATTTTGGGTCTTTTCTAAGGAAAATGGAGATTATCAGTTATTTCGTAAGATAGGGGAAAGAAATTGTCTGAAGACTAAGAAACTTGAATTATGATAGAGCTTATTATAGTGTGATTCATTATTCCATTGGACATTTACCAATGTGGCTACCTTGTTTTCTGCACATAGTTTACCTCTTGAAGAAGGTATATATGAGATGGTATCATCAACTACGGGTAGCAGTCTGAGGGGTGACTGATGTGGCCTGGAGAAAGCAGGCCTGGCTATGGGGGACAATCCTTTGAGTTGTAACTTGCTTATTATTTCCCTTGGAGAAACACAGGACCAGTGTTGCCAGATCATCCTTTTATTACACAAAACCACAGATCTCTTGATTTTTAAGTATTGACAACTAATTCAATTTTAAAAATGAAAGCAAAACAAAACACAGTATTCCAAATAGCACATCTGTGGCTCTATGTGGCCCACAAGCTGTTTGGTTCAACCTCTGCTCTAAGGAATCATTAGCTCAACTAAATAAATATTGCTAGTTGAATACTTTCTTTTTCTTTTTTGGTACTAGGGATTCAACTCAAGGGCACTTAACAACATCCCCAGCACTTTTTATTTTTTATTTTGAGACAAGTTCTTACTAAGTTGCTTAGGGCTTTGGTAAGTTGCTGAGGCTGCTTTGAACTTGTGATCCTCCTGCCTCAGCCTCTCAAGTTGCTGGGATTAYAGGCAGTGCCATTGAGCCTGGCTAGCAGGCATACTTTCTATTTATTACTGTCACATTTTAATTCTGGGYTATTCCTACAGCTGCTTGGTATTTGAGCTAGTTGTGGAAGTGCTTTAAGGATTCTCAGAAGTGATACTCTTTTTTCTTTTTTTTTAGTCTTGACATCATTTGGATGGAAAAGAGATATTTTCCAAGATCTTAGCCATTTTTTTTCTTTTTGTCTATGCATAATTGTCATCCAGAGTGCTYAAGTGTGCCTGAGGGAAGGGGTCTGGATGAGGTGACCTTTGATGTCCATTTCAGCCATGTGATTTTTAGATTTAATTAGCCATGGATGCAGTGCTATTAATGTTCACAGACTAGAGGGACGGACAGCAGTTGGAGCTGTGTCAGGGAAAATAAAGCCAAATCTATAGAACCATTCTCAGTGGAAGAGCTTCGTGTCAGTGTGAATGAACTAGCAGGGAAAGTTTGCTAGATGAAACAAAAGGAAAGAGGTCCCAAAGATGGTTTTGGAGAAGTAGGGGAAAGAATCAGATGATGATGTCATTTATATATCTTGTTGCTAAGGTCTCATTTTTAACTGTTTTTTGTTTGTGTTTGCTATTGATTTAGATTTGAAGACTCAACTTCTTATCGCCTATTGGATTATGCCCACAGCTTTCCTACCCAATGATCCTCTTGCAACAGGCCGGGCTTCCTCTACCTAAGCGACCTTCATCCTCTCCTCCTATGTCAGTGGCCACCAGGTCTTCAGGAACCTTGCAGCTTCCACCACAGAAGCCTTTTGGGCAAGAGGCATCCTTGCCTCTGGCTGGGRAAGAAGAATTACCTAAGGGAGGGGAGCAAGACTCTGCCCTGGAGGAGCTGTGTAAGCCCCTGTACTGTAAACTCTGTAATGTCACCCTGAACTCAGCACAGCAAGCTCAGGCTCATTATCAGGTAAGGGAAACTCAGGTATTCAGGCTCTGCCTATTTAAGCACTTGGTTTTCCACATAAGACTGACTATGGAAAATCATGAAAGCTTAGAGAAACAACTAAGTATTTATTTGTTTGACTAATAATAATAATGTTCCTATATAAACATAAGTATCATTTTTCATACAATGATTCTCAACTGTTTACACTAAGTGGCATTTGGTAGTTGACAAGTCTTTGTGAGCAAATGTAAACCTTTATGCTGATGTTTGAACTTGTGGTTCTAAGGACAACATGATGTGCCAAATTCAATTCAGTGGAAAATCATTTAGACGCTAATTCAGTTTGCATCAGTTGAGGTACTCTCTCCATATTATTCTCTTGCTTTCCGTTTTTGACTTCAGCTCTTCCTGTATAACCCTAAAGAAAACACAGATGTCTTTGTAGTGAGAATAAAATGACATTGGAGTATTGAGCCCTGTTTATTCTCATTAGTGTAAACTGATTTAAGATTTAAGCTTTTACCTCAATGTAGAATGGAGAGTGGATTTTAAAGGGTACCATTACCTAAGAGCAAATGTGAGATTAAATTTTTACTAGAAAGAGAGGATATAGTATTTATTTTATTCTAGGTTGTTGACTGTATGGAATTATATAATCTCTTTTTCTGGAAAAAAGTGAAGTGGGCACTAATCTAGGCCAAACCCCACTGAGTGGAGATTATCTTCTGGGCCATCATTGATTTGACTATCTGTTTTCTCCATGAATGTCTCTAGYAGTCAGACATCTTGGTAGAAAGCTGACTGTGAAAAAGGTATTTCTTCTACTCTGATAGTATAACTTTCCCTGGTTTGAATTTTTTGTTTGCTGTGTAAATCTTTTGTTTTGACCCCCAAGCCTGGACAATTGTTTCACTTTGTAATTGTGCACCAGAAGTATTCTGATRGTGAATTGTTTTCTGGGGATTTARGAGAAGGCATGATATGTAGCTTCCCTGGAGCTCCCATTGTTTTGGTTTGTTTTGCCCTTAGTGGCAGAGTTGAGTTGATTCTCTCTCTCTAATCTTGGCCTTGTCATCCTTGGTTCATAAAGGCCTCCTCTGGTCTTTTTTTTTTCTTTTCTTTTTTTACATTTTCTTTTCCTCCATTTCTGTTCTTACTCCCTTGGTGTATCACTCCCTAACACAATGGGTTTGATATAGGGTCTTTCTTTGTCTGTCAAGGAATCTGTTAGAACGACTAATCACAAATTCAAGATTCCATGTTAACTTTCTTCTTCATTTATTTGTGTGGGATGTTCAGTTTTATAACCTGAGGCTCATTGTGAAAAATCAAGCCTGAATTCTAACGTTTTGGGTTTTGGTTATATAAAGCCCTTACTAAATCATTAATGGGAGCTAATCATTAATGTGTCATACACATAATTGCCTTTTAAGAAAGAGTAGTTTATTTTGATGAAGGAAAACTCTTGGGCAATATGTAATTTTGTATGCACATACCTCTTATCCTTTTTCTCCAGCATAATTTTTTGATTCTATAGACAGTGATGGATGCTCTGGGTTATGCATAGACAGAATTCAGCTTAATGCAAGATTATTGGATTATAAAGCTTAAACTAGATAAGTAACAGCTTTTTTTTAAAATGTACATTTCTGTGTGTGTTTGCTCTAAGTTTTTTATTTGACAAGATATGTAATTACACTTAATTTTATTTCCCTCAGTTATGCAGTGACTAAAAAATTAGAAAATAAGGGAAGAAGAATTTGACAGATTCAATAATCAGAATTTTTAAGTGGAAAAGTTAGAGGGGCAGGATGGCTTGTCAGAAGGGACAATTCAGTCAGCCAAACAGTAGGGTAAAAATAAAAGCAAAAAGGAGAGACAAGTGAATTTTAAAGGAGAAGGTTTTTGTTTTGTTTTTAAACAGAGAAATCAGGGTGGAGAAGTTTATGTATAAAAGTACAAAGCAATTTCATTAGAGTAACTTGGAAGAAAGCTAATGCTAGAAGTGAAATCTAGATTTGCATTTAATGGAATTGGTCAAGATGAAGGAGTATGGATCCTGGAGTAGATGAGACTCAAAGGACCAGAGCTTGARCATAACCTGGAGGTGGGCTAACCAACAGTAAGGAGAACATGGAAGGTGAGCCTGGGGGGGGGGCATATCAAGGATTGCATTAGTAGACGGTGACAACAACTGTAAGACCTATGAGTGTTAGCAAGCACTAGGAATAGGCAGAGTGACAATGATTACAGAATAACAGAACAGAGTGGTTTAGGATTAAATAAGATAATGGACATAAAATTTTATTTGAAAACTAAAAAATCTACATTGTAATTTTAATACAGAGTGATCATAAATCCATTATTCAGTTATGCACAAGATAAAAGTGGTCACTGTCAATCTGTTTATGAGCCAGAAACACCTTCATGTAAAGTGATGAAACACTGATTATATTACTGAAAACTTTTTAGTTAATAATATTATTGAAATCCCAAAGTTTCAAATTTCCATGGGTATTGTAAGCAACTGGTGTTTCTGTATTCCATTCCCATAATCTGGGGCACACTGTGGAAACTCCTCCATAAATACTTCCCTTTAAGCTTACTACCATTTCCCCCTGACATCCCTATGTCTCAGTCTGCTGCTACCTTATCAATGAGCTGGATATATCCTCACACATATAGTTTTATTCCCAGAACTTTTACAATGTGGTCAGGCTTCAGAACATCTTCAACTGTTGTTTTATTTTTTAATGAGATTATTTAATTTTGCAGTCTCAAAATCATGGCTTTCATTATAATTTAATTTAAAGTCAAATTTTTTGGAGGAGAAACATGTCTTCATTTTATTAAAATCTGTCTGTATGCTTCAGGTACTTAGGGCTAGCCTGGCATGGAATAATATAACACTGTTTCATTAGCATAAATACCCAGGGGAAGAGCTGCTTTAAGATGGAAGGTTATTAACAGAAATAAAAAAGCAAAAAGCATGGACAACGTTTCCTCAGGCATCCACAGTTGAAAGGCAGACACTGTTGTCTGCTAATTTGCATGTCCATATGAAAAATAAGTAGTTACTCAAAGTGCATTTCTAAATTTTGTCATAAACATACATTTCTCAATAAAGCCCATCATTATGTACAACTACAATGCACCAATAAAAAAATGTGGAAAGAGGGCTGGGGTTGTGGCTCAGTGGTAGAGCGCTCGCTTGGCACACATGAGGCACTGGATTCGATCCTTAGCACCATATAAAAATGAAATAAAGGTATTGTGTCCACCTACAATTAAAAAATATATTTAAAAAATGTGGAAAGAGAAAAACCCCATACATTTCTATATATAAGACTTAGTATCAGATAACAACCTGTTGAACTATCTAGATTCATTAGAAAGAGAGACAGGACACAGGTTAAAAAAAGTAGTTGTAGAATTATGATGCTGAATGTAGTGGTCTTAATTCATAATGTAAAGAATACAATTTTCCCCCAAATTTAAAGTGTTGATTTATGCACATACATTGTAACAGGGATTCCCCAGTTTGGATGGAATAATCAGTAACTCTAATCTCAGCTGATTTTGATGTTTTCAAAATTCTCCCTTACAATGAGCAAGGGGAGGATGAGTGGAGTGGGGGTAGGGGTGCTTAGGGGAGGTAAAAGGAGGGAGGAACAGGGACTGAAATGGAGTAGGTCAGATTTCATGGATGTATGATTTTATTGGGATGAACCCAGCTACTGTGTGTGTGTGTGTGTGTGTGTGTGTGTGTGTGTGTGTGTATAATGCTCTAATTGAAGAAAGGAAATAAGGAAAAAAGTTATAAGAATTATAAAAAAAAAACTTCCCCCCATCCAAAGGAACTTGCAGTGGACTGAGAATTATCAAAATATACTTCAGATTTGTTGTTTTCAAAGCACAAGGGGCATATAWACTTTGAAATCTGACAGATTTGGGCTGCAATCTGGGCTCAGCTACTTTAGGCAAGACATTTAATCTCTATTCATGTCTATAAAGTAGGGGTGATTGTATTTCCCTTGCAGGGTTGTGAGAATTGTGTACTTTATATTAATAAATACTGGCTGATTAAAAGAGATACCTCTTGTTTAGAGTGTTTTGGTCTGAAAGGAACTAAAATTCATTTCATCTTGTAGCTTTAGAAGGTTGTAAAAGAAGGCACACAGCTCCCTTAACTGTTGTTACTACCTCGATAGGAACTTCCTGTAGGACCTTGTATCAACCAGTAAAACCTGACCTCCTTGGTTGTCCTCCAGAGATACTCCTCTGGAGCCAGATACCAGGTTACCTTAAAAAAATAATGGAACCAACAGATGAGGTAACATAAAATGACTCTCAAATGTAAAAGGACTTTCACCCAGACCAGCGGCCTCTCCACTTAGTCTGTTTACTTTGTTTTGTTGAAGTACATTTCCACATTACTTAAAGGAAGACTCCATATAAATGTACATTGCAACATACCTCTCTCTCTTAAATAAAATGAGGGAGTAATAGGAAGTAAATTTTTCTGAATACTTATGTTTCCTAAGGTAAGTCCTTGTTGGTTCTATTGTATTGCTGTCGCAATGACCAGTTCTGTAAGCTCGCCCAGCCCTGGCTGAGTTCATGTTAGGGATTGAAGCGCTACGGTCCCCCCCCTCCCCACACACACACACAAGTTGGAGTTTAGCAGCTTTCTGCCTCATCTTCAGAGTCTACCCTATCTCCTTTCTTTTTATTTCAGAAGAATAGTGTTATAGTTTGGATGTCAGTCGTCCCCCAAAAGCTCACCTGTGCAAGGTTCAGAGAAGGAATTATTGAATTTCAAAAGCCTTGACCCCATCAGTGAATTAATCACCGGATGGGATTAATCTAGTGGTAACTGAAGGCAGGTGGGGTGTGGCTGGAGGAGGTGGAGCATTGGGGGCGTGGCTTTGGGGGCTATACATTTGTATCTAGCAAGCGATCTCTCTCTGCTTTCTGGTCATCTTGTGAGCTGCTTCCCTCTGTRCATTCTACCGCTATAT